TATTTCTATCTGTCAAAGCTTCTTCTTAGAAACAGTGAGAACACTTAAATGCTCTTGTAATGTGGAAACTATGATGACATTGTTCTAGGTATGTGTATCCTTCTCCCAAATGCTTCAGTGTTTTCAAAAATGTTTTAATTGGATTTCCGCCATATCGATGTCCTATAAGCACAGAAGCGCCGAAAGATTAAAGACATAAACATGTGCCTCATTAGTATTATTTATCACGCTAAGGCTCTTCAGGCCAGGAGTGCACAGTGAGTGTGAACACTTAAAGGATCAAACCCTCTGTCATGGTTTCACAGGGCAGCCTGATTCATTGCTTTTGTCTGCTATGAGAGGGTTCTCCGGGTGGTGGTGGGGGGTGGGCAGAGACACAGACAGACACTGTTTGGTATTCTCCTTCAGTCCTGTCGGGAGGCTTGTACGTCTCTCAGCTCTGACATGTTCCCGGCTCTGCGCTGTTTGAAGGGTACGTGAAGTCAACAGGGCCACTGCTTTGGCTCTCAGTGGAGGGAATGAACTGAGCAATTGTGTGTGTGTGTGTGTGGGGGGGGGGGGGGGGTTAGTGGAGGAGGGGAAGGAAACAAGGCAGAGAAAGAGGGAGGATGGGAGTATAGGATGCCGGAGGAATGCCAGACAAAATGAGAGTGACATATTGCATCTTGGAATGGAATTTAAATATGAACTAAACTCAAAAAGTCTAAGACACTTAAGCCATGCTAATCTGTTCATTTTCTCTCATTTGCCTTCACCAAATGAATAAACAATTTACATAAAAAAGGCCCGAACCACGGACTGACACTGTATACATGGAGAAAGGAGGATTAAGTGAGACTAAATGGATATATTACTGAGCAAAAGCAAGGATAGTCTGTAAGTTCCTTTCCTTTGGACTTGAAGCAACCCTTTTCAACTCCTAGCTGTGCACCACCCTTTCCTGTTTTTCCTTCTTTTCCATTCCTTCTTTTCACGGCCAGAGAAGAACAGCCTTTCTGAGCAAGGGAAGCCCAGGCCTTCCCCCCATAACGAGCACGATGACTGAGACGCCAGCTTCTTCACTGCCGCAGTGTATGCTTCACTGTGTCTAGCTCCCCTGGTCATTATTCATGGCCAGGCTTGCTGAGTAGTACTTCTAAGCACTTGCAAATGCAGCTCAATTGAAAGGATAGTAAATCCTCTTCACAGCTAAGGTTTGGTTGGCTCAATTAGGCTGGGTTCTACCGGTTCTACCCCAGTAGGTTTCACAAGTGGTTTTCTTCAGGGCACACCTGGGGAGCCCAAGCATACAACGTGTTGTATCAAATGAATATGATATAATGGGTTATTTTAGTCCAAAACACAACCTATGTTGTCATCAATTACATTGTCATAGATCATGATAGTCTGGTAAACATTCTGCTGGTTAGCTTCCTCAGGTTGTGTCATGGTGGCTTCTTAACAACAGAGAAACTGACAAAAGAGTCAGCATACTGATCAGAACTCTTGGTTTGTTGACCAGGCATCATCTCTAGTTTATCTCTGGTTATATTTATTATAATAAACAGTAAATATATACTATATCAACAGTACTAAGATAATGTATTTGGAAATGTCACAATATACAGAATAAAAGTTGTTTCTGGAACTGAAGGCCTTTTTACTGAATGATTAGCAACAGACTGCGGTAGGAGGATTGTGGGAATCATGGTGCTACAAATACAGCATCCCTCCATGGCTCCCAGAGCTCACATTTCCCACAGTGCAGTAGGAGTGCTACAGGTTACTATCCTGGTCATACAGCGCTCCGTCTCTCAGGAATGCCTGAGATGCTGGGCCCGTTTTAGTCACGCACCGCAGTGTCTGCCATGCATCACCTTCCCCTTCCAACTGATAACGCTCTGCAAAGCCCATATAACACTGGGATGCCATTAGTCACAGCTCAGGTGTGTGAGACAAGTGGACAGGCGTTGAGGAGTCAAATGTGTGTGTATACATGCTCGTGTCATGCTGAGAGAAGCGTGGGAGGAAGATAAACTGTGCGAGAAAACCCAGCTCTGTCCCGCTGCAGGAAACTGTCTGGAACGTATCTTTTTTTCATTATTCCCATGGATAAACATATACGAGCATCGTGGTTGTTATTCAAGACCTTGTCCCTCCATTTTGCATATTTGTGATCTCTGTGTGCCACAACCAACATATTGAAGCTTATTGGAGCACTGTTCAACTCTCATATATCAAACTGACTGTTTTTATAGTGATGTCTGTTAATAATACAACATAATGCTTTCTTGGCATTATCCTACTTATAAATGGAATGTTGGTTTGGTTTCTGAGTACTCCTCCTCCTCAGTCAAACTTAGCTTTCCCACCGACGAGTGCAATCTAAGGCAAAAAGTGTTCCACCAAACTGAGAAACTCAAAACATGGTTACAGTAATACGACTGGGGAAGTTAAACTTATATGAAGGTTAGAAAATATTGTTGTGTCTATTAGACACAGGAAGTCAGTCTTGTCACTGCTGCTTATCTATGAAATGAAAACTCTTTGAAATGAAATTGTGAGTTTTCACAGCTGCTTCCTGTAAAGATACAAGAGAGACCTCATTCCAAGAAAAACCAATTGTATATTGAATATACAAAGAACCCAAAGAATAATACTCACATTTGTTCTCCTTGTTTCTGGCTTTAAACCACCTCTTTCTTACTTTCTGACTAAATATCATTTTTTTCGGGAATGATTTGTGTTTTTCCATCACCGTTGTTTTAGTGGCCATGTTAACCAAAACCAGCTTGAAATGCTGACGAGACATATTTACGACGTCTGAACTCTGAGCTTTGGAGGAACACTTGAAGGCAGCATAACATCCTGCTCCGTGCTCTTTTCCTGCTCTCTGTCCTCTGCCATATTTTACACTAGTTTTTCATGACACAGTCCTCTGTGCAGCTGCTAAGCTTCACGCGATCGAGGACATCAGGGTTATTTTTTCCAACTTGACGCCTCCCTGGCGTTTTGTAGACGTAGTTTGCATTTGAATGATTCCCTGGAACTGAAGTTCAAACCCCAGCGAGTGAAAAGAAAATATCTGAGTGTGTGGTTTTGTTATAACAGGAATGTGAACTTAGATTCCTTCACTTTCGGCTTGTTTTTCACTGACCGCAGTAGTTCATTGTACATGTACATACATCACAAACTGCTGCATATAAACAAACCACTTTAAATAAACATTTTGTGACTGTTATTCTCTTAAGAATATATTCTTGGGTAGTAATAACAGTGTAGCAGAACCAGGTAGAATGCAGTATGTATCTCACATACACACACATTTACACACTTCCCATGTACACCAGTGGGGATTAAAGCCAGCTGATCTAATCTGGGGGGCTGTAGACAGACCGTCTGCCCCTCTGTGTCTATATAAACGCACACACGCACACACACACTGGAATGCATCACTCAACACTGCGCACACCGACCATCAGAGCTTCCTTCACCACAGTGTGAGGGAATGCAGTCTCTTAATGTAGCCTCTATGTATAGCCAGCAACAGCCACTGGTCCAAAAGACAAATCATTATCACTCTGTCTGGCTCTAATTTGAACCTCATGCTTTCATATCCAATGTGGTTGACATTAGCTACTGTGGAGACTATCTTAGAAAAGGCTCCCATGAGTTTGTTATTTATGGTCAAGCGGGATATTGGTTTACATTCCACATGTTAATTAGATTCGGCACACGCTGATCCCTTGCCAGTGCACCACAACACTAGACCATTGAGTCTGTGTCTCTGAGTTGGAGCCTACCCAGCTGTCGCCTGTTAGATCTGCCAATAAGAGGTGGTAAAAACCCCCAAAGTGTGTCACTCGGTGATAACCAGATCTTTTAAGACAGCACCAGTAATGTGGAATGTCTAATGGTAGTTTGGCAGGGGGCACTGAAAGTTCCTACAATGTCAATAAAACCTAAGCTCTAGTTAGGTCCTTGAGAGGATGCGCCTTCCCAGTATTTTGTTTGGTGCTAAAGCTTTATCCCAACAACATTAGCATGTTTGTTTCACATAACCTTAGCTCGGCTCCCATGATTCAGCTTCAACCTCAAACTCAAAAAGGTCTTTCAGGCCATTTTGAGCAATTCTAGCACTTCTTCAGCGAGTCTCTGAAATATCTCTGCAACTATTTTATGGCTTTGAATGGAATAATGTAAAGACATTCATGGTCCCCAGAGGGTGTATCCTGTTTCTTGTCCATGAGAAGATTCAGCGCACCAGTAGGTCAACATTTTAAAGCAACTTGATCAATATTTTCACATATTGTCACAAAGTTTGGTACAACAATGAATTGCTGTACACACATACATTATACTTGCTAGACATCATGCTAGCATTGTCATTGTAAGCATGTTATCAAGCGTTTGCTCAAAGCACTGTACAGTTTCAAAGAGCCCCTATCAAGGCTGTAGACTGCTCACAAATCAGCTGATTAGTGCGAGGAAAGGTCCTTCAGCGCACTTATCCTTTGTAAGTCATAAGCTTTGCATTAAGAGTAGGACAAGAAGCATCGATACAGCTGAGAAAAAGGCCTGCGCACAGACAAGGAATCAATATAACAACCAGAGGGGCTGCCTCTGGGAAACTGATTCTATTTACAGTGAAAGAGATGGGGGGGGAAAGGAGGTTGCAGTCCAAGCTAGTGTGAGAGTGTGTGTCTGTACGTGAATGTATGCATGTGAAAGTGCTCTGAATTGAGTTTGCTGCCTGTTACCCCTTTGACCGGCTCAGAATAGCCAACCCCTGCCATCAGATAATTTATGATCTCCAATAATAACCGAGCCATTTACACATTAAATCTGTCATCTCTCTGGGGCGCTCGCTCGCTCGCTCTTCCAGGAAATTATCAATTCAAGCATTCAGGCTTCCAGGCACACAAGCTATTGTTGTTAACAAAGAGATGTTCATAGATGACATATGGCTCAAAACACCTAGCTAGATGAGATGACAACAACCAATATTTGTTTTTTTTCAGATGGACCTGAAGCTGCTCTTGGTATCCATATTATTTGGAGTCTTTTGTTTCAGTAATGCTCAGAAAGGTAAGATAACGTACATACTGTGTAGCTTTAACATCATTATTTTGTCACATGATTTTGTTGTTGTCAGCATGCATAGTAGTAAACACAACATTCATAATGATGACCAGCTCCACAGAGAGGGAGGCCATCTACTTAATCTTAATGATGTCATTGACCAGAGATCCATCTACAGAGAATAGAGGATAATGGAAAAGAGGGGATATTCTGTCTCTAATTACCATTGAGCCACACAGTGTTCCAGATGAACTGATGTATAAACATGGGGGGCTTAACAGGCTGCTTACTTTGCACGGCCTGTGCTGTGACCGTGCTCCCTCTGACTCCCCCTCTCTTCTCTCTTTGTTTTCCATCCAGAAGGGAACGAGTGCATCAATGCCAACGCCAAATACTGCGGGGAGTGCATCCAGGCTGGAGCCAAATGTGGCTGGTGTAAAGACCCGGTGTGTGAATCTCAGCTGTCAGCTGTAGTTGTGCTGAGAAATGCATTCGGATGCCAATATGAGGCCATTAGGCATATAGTGATAGTTGGCAATGACCATGCTTGAGTGTGGGGCTGCATCTTATGATTTCTTTATTTGCTTTTCTTTAAAAAAATCTAAAATTATTTTAAATAATAATACATTTAGCCTATGATATGTCAGAAATTAAGAAACATTTTTTTCCAGAGCAAAAGATGGTTACTTTAAGTTCTTACTTTTCTAACAAACATTCCACAACCAAAAGTAGTTTCTTTTGCAACAATAGAGCCAAAAAGAAACTGTTCCTCAGATGCAATTATTAGTTGATTATTGATTTAACAATAACAACCAATTAATCTGCCACTTTTGTTGACAAGTCAAGTTTTCTGTTTCTCTGTATGCACCACTTATACCAAAGAAAATTCCTCGTATGTGAAACTACTTTTTCTGATCAATTTACATTTGATATTTCCAGTGTTAAGATTTCTTGCTTTATCCTTGATTTATATTATTGTAATTTGAATACATTTGTGTAATTTTGTCGGATAAAACAAGCAAATTAAAGACGTCATATCAAGTTACAAGGAGCATATTGAATTGTATTCTTATGTTTCGCAAAAATGATCCAGTCATCAATCAATAAAATAAAAGTGTAAAATCATAAATATATATTGTCACATGACAGCAGATTGTTGATGAATTGTCCCATTGATTCTCCCTGTGCTGCTGTTTCCAGGAGTTCCTGAAACAGGGTGAGACCGTGTCGACGCGCTGTGACGAGCTGCAGTCTCTGATAAAAAGGGGCTGTGATGATGACATGATCGAGAACCCTCGCGGGGATCAGAAGATCCTGAAGAACAAAGCGGTGACAAACCGCGGCAGGGGAGAAGGGAAACAAAAGTCAGAAGCCAGACTGAAACTGAAGCCAGAGGAGATCACTCAAATCCAGCCTCAGAAACTCAGCCTGATCCTCCGATCTGGTGAGAATACATTCTAATGAACCTTTCCTGAAGCTATTTCTTACCTTCTTTTTCTCTGACACAACTTCTAAATGACGGTAACTTCATATAGGTGAGCCCCAGTCCTTTGACTTGAAGTTCAAACGAGCGGAGGATTATCCCATCGACCTGTACTACTTGATGGACCTGTCCTACTCCATGAAGGACGATCTGGAGAACGTCAAGAACCTGGGAACCAGTCTAATGCTGGAGATGTCCAAGATCACCTCGGACTTCAGGATAGGTGAAGATTAACATGTTCTCAAGTGTGATTACATTTGACACTAAATGTAAAATGTAAATGAAACTTGTTAATTATAAGGTACAATGACATTGTATTTACTGACTATTGCAGTGATTGTTCTCTTTACATCTAAATATCAATACAAACATGAACCGCTCGATTCCAATACTTTAAATGGTGCCAATTGGCTCAAATGTAAACAAATGAATACTGAAAAAAGAGCTACATTTGTAGCCCACAGTCAGTTCTGACTTACACCCTGACTTATGGCGCGTTTCCACTGCAGCGGGGTAGCCCCGTTTAAGCGTCCCTAAGCGTCCTCGCTCTGGCCTCGGGCTGCCTCGCTGGCCGTCCGAGGCCGTGGCGCATTTCCATTACAGTTTAGGACCTGGGGTAGCAACGCAGTGTAGGCGGGGCAATCGGCTTTGTTTTTGTTCACATTTCGAGTTGTTCCGTCGAGCTCCCGCTGGATTTGATCATCCCCAATGAGATGAAGGAACGTCGTCACCTCCTCGGTCGACCACGGTGTGCTTTTCTTATTAGATGTAGCCATTTTTGTAGCTCATCCGTTTACAAAATGCTGTTTATAAAAATGCTGCAAGCTTGCTTCTAGATATATATGCGACGCTAGGGATGAACTCGCGCGCGATCTTGTGACGATTCTCTCTGACCAATCAGCAGTCGAGAGTGTTGACGTCACTAGTTCAGCCCTGGCCCTGGTCTGATAGAACCACGATTTTATGGGGCCGGAAAAAGAGGGGAAAAGTACCCTCTAGCCGGTACTAGGCTATATGGAAAGGCCACCAAAAACTGGCCTGGCCGCTTGAGGACGGTTAAGGACGCTTAAACGGGGCTACCCGCTGCAGTGGAAATGCGCCATTAGTAAGGGAAATTGTCTAAGTTCTATTATTTAAACACTATAATCAATCCAAAGATTGATCCAGTGTAGTCTTTTGATGTTCGGCCCACAGTTTCAGACTTTGAAAATGAGGTAGATTGACTGTCTTGTCTTTTCAGGTGTACTGTTGTAGGTATTTGTTGCCACCCAGGTTGGAATGACCTTTTTGTGACCTGTACAAACAAACCAAATAATCAAACACTCAGCGACCTTCTCTGAACAAAGTGGTGTCAACTTACCCTCAGACTAGAGCACCTAGACTCAAACCAAGCTACATTTAAAACTAACTGTCTTTTAAAGGTTTCGGTTCCTTTGTGGAGAAGACAGTCATGCCGTACATCAGCACCACCCCGGCCAAGCTGCTGAACCCATGCACAGGAGACCAGAACTGCACCAGCCCGTTCAGCTACAAGAACGTTTTGAAGCTCACCAGCGACGGCAAGAAGTTCAACACCCTGGTGGGCAAGCAGCACATCTCTGGAAACCTGGACTCTCCCGAGGGGGGGTTCGATGCCATCATGCAGGTTGCTGTGTGTGGGGTAAGCAACAAAATAGAAGCCGTTTCCTATCAGTGATCCAGTCGGGGGAAATAATCCTTCTCAGGTTCTCAATTCAAGGCAGTTTTCCCACAATTACGGCACTTGCTTGGAGGGATACAGCGCTAATAAATGTGGTGATATGTGAAAAAGCTGTTTTATGAGTCCTTGGTGTTCACAAGGAGATTGTTGAATGCAGTGATAATCAGTAGTTCATGTCTCACTTTACAACCTGCTCATATTCTCCATTAGTCTTTATAGAGGGAATTTATCGCTTTTGGCAGATGTTATTTCTCCTATTTTTAAGTGTTTCTTTCTCATTTCACAGGACCACATTGGGTGGAGGAATGTGACTCGTCTGCTGGTGTTCTCCACCGACGCTGGCTTCCACTTTGCTGGCGATGGAAAACTGGGTGGCATCGTTCTGCCCAACGATGGAAAATGTCACTTGGAGAATAATATTTATACCATGAGCCACTACTATGTAAGTAACCCAGGCTTTTTACACATGTGGCAAACACTGCTACTGTGTGTTACAATGTTAATATGACTCCTCTCCTCCCCATTTTGTTTTAAAGGACTATCCCTCCATTGCTCACCTGGTTCAGAAGCTGAGCGACAACAACATTCAGACCATCTTCGCAGTCACAGAAGAGTTCCAGCCTGTTTACAAAGTGAGTTATCTGTCTCTGGCACACTTTTACTTCATTTTCATCCCCTTCTTTTCCAGAATACTTTTCCTCATTCCTTCCTGTGTGCGTGTGTGTGATGATGGAAGATGCCCAGTATGTAAAAATATCCATCCAGTCCAATGCCTCTGCCGGGAGTTATGGTAGCATCTCCATAAAAGCTCTTAATTGCTTCCTTGTGCCTTGCCGTAACATCTGAGTTTCATTAAAGTTCTTTATTTATCACAGTAGCTTCTGTATGCTTCAAAGCAATAACAATTCCACCATTTCAAGGTTGTAATCAATGTTGTATCTATCTAAATCTTGGATTAAATGTTTAAACTGATACATTTCCAGGCTGTAATAAAAATTCACTCATGTCATTCAGGTGGAAAAGCAGTCTATTAAAGTGCTTTTTTATCTTTTGTTGTTACTGATAGAGGTTTCAGATATCACAGGATAAATAGAGCTCTGATTAAGCTTTATTATAAAAACTGTTTTTTTCTCTCTACAGGAGCTGAAAAATCTGATTCCAAAATCTGCAGTAGGGACTTTATCTGCCAACTCCAGCAATGTCATCAACCTTATTATAGACGCCTACAATGTAAGTACACTGTTCAGACTGTTGACTTTAAGTGCCCTTGAAAAAAACACTTATCATTTAGTCACATGGGCCACATTAAAGAACTCAACAATGTGCCTTGAGTTTTAACTGTCAAATATTTTTCCAAACACATACTGTCATTTATTACTCAGCTAATCCTTTGTGTACCGTACGCTGCCAAAGCAAAGCTACCTGATGAAATTCTAACATTCTTGTTGTTATCTCTTGGATTTGGCAGTCGCTCTCCTCAGAGGTCATTTTGGAGAACAGCAAGCTTCCAGAGGGAGTGACCATAGCTTACACATCGCACTGTAAGAACGGAGTGGTTAGTGAAGGGGAAAGTGGACGGAAGTGCTCCAACATCTCCATCGGAGATCAGGTGAGGATAAGAATGTTTCTCTTTTTTGTTGTTATTCAAAAGTAGATGATTAATCCTATTTCAGTCGTTAATGTTTTATGTCATTGTGTGTTCATGGAAATGTATTTTCTAAATTGTCTTCTCTCATGTGCTGCACAGGTGAAAGTCTTTCTAATAGTCATGCATTTTTCTGTGAGACGGGTGGATAAAAGTTTTAATTTCCTTGGTATTTAACCATTTATTCGCACCTGGAAGAACAATTATATTGCTTTTACTCGCATAAAAAAAAACGAGGAACTGGTTTAATTCAGTTTTTGTCCAAAAAAGTGTTAAAACAACAATCACAACTACCTGCCAATTTGCGATCAATTGGAAGAAGAGCGCCCCCATGCCTCAACAACAGGTGTTGTGTTTGGGAGTGGTGCTCGATGCAGTGGTGCCACCCTGTCAGAGAGCAGACAGGCATCCTTGCTACAGGCAGTTTGCAGACTGCGACAGGAGGCAACAGTGACGGCTTTAACTGTTATGCAGACCCTGGGTCTCATGGCAGCGGCTCACGTTGTGGTCCCGCTGGGGTTACTGCAGAGGTGGTTCTCCAGCCTGTGTTTAGATCTCAAGAGACACAAACGGCGGCTGGTGACCATCCCCCCCTCGGTGGGGGGCAACCTCCGGTTCTGGGGTCCCCGGATCACCTCCGGAGGGGGTCCCCGCTGGGACAGGTGATCTCCCACATCTCAGTGTTCACGGATGCATCCGGAACGGGATGGGGGTGAACCTGCCTGGAGAGCTGTAGGAGGGCGCTGGTCTCTAACAGAGACGCGGCACATTTCAAACTCTTAATCTAGGGAAAACATGTAATGATCAGGAGCGACAACAGCACCACAGTGGCATCAACAGACAGGGCGGAGTCCGCTCTGTTGACCATAGCGGAGAAATTGTGGTTATGGGCTGCAGAGGTGATGTTATCTCTGAGAGCCCTCCACATTTCGGGTCTGGAGAACAGGGGGGCCGACCTCATGTCGAGGGGCGGACCCCTGCCAGACGAGTGGGCATAGTGTTATTCAGTCTATCCAGGCAGCTAGAGCGGGATCCACCACAGCCTGTTACAGGCCAAAGTGGCTGGGATTCTGGCGATGGTGTGAGGAGCGGAAAATAGAGCCCCTATCTTGTAAATTGGGATCTATTTAGTTGTACTTACAGTTGTTGGTGGGCAGAGGGCTTGCTCATTCCACAGTGAAAGTGTATGCAGCAACCATCTCATTCTGCCATGAGGGATTTGGCGGCAGGTCAGTTTTTGCCCAACCGCTAATGTCGCGGTTTTTGCGGGGGGTCAGGAGACAGCGCCCAGTGGTGCGCGCCTCTGCCCCGCAGTGGGACCTGCCGCTTGTGCTCGAGGCTCTGGTCACAGGACCATTTGAGCCTCTGTAGCTCTCTTCCCTGAAAGCACTGTCATGGAAGACAGCATTGCTACTTGCCTTAACGTCAGCCAAAAGAGAGTTAACCGCTTTATCGGTGCACCCGAGTTGTTTAAACATCCGGAGTGACCGAAGCGGGGCGACAATCAGACCGAACCCCTCCTTTGTGCCCAAGAGCCTAAGGAGTACGTTCAGGTCGAGGGCTATCCAGTTGGGGGGTTTTAATCTCCCCCCCATAGTGGGGCGACGGAGGCTAAATTGCACCTCCTCTGTCCGGTGCGTGCGCTGGCATGTTATGTAGATCGCACGACTGTCCTTAGACACACAGAACAGCTGTTTGTGCGATTTGGGGGTGGGGTAACTGGAAAAGCTTTGTCCAAAAAACGCCTGGCGGGCTGGCTTTGCGAGTGCATTGCACATGCCTACGGACAGGCGGGGAGAGCCTTCCCCACGGGGGTCCGTGCATACTCTACACGAGCCATGGCTGTGTCAACAGCCTTATTTAATGGCGTAAGTGTGGAGAACATATGCACGGCGGCATCTTGGTCAACACCAGGTCCCTTCATTAAGTTTTATCTCTTGGACATGTCTGGCTCCTTTTCATCGTCTATGCTTGCTGGGGTAACGCAGGACTGGTGAGGAGGGAGAGGGGGGCTGTGGGTCAGTGGGCATCTGACCCCCTCCCCGGACGTAATGTGCTTACGTTTCCCGGGCCCCCGGCCCCGGGGGACATAACGCACACATGGGCCCATAGGGGCTGGAGGTTTCTTTTGTTCCCCTGCATTAAGACAGGAGGAGGAAATCCTCTACATTATGGCACACCTCCGCGGGGTAAGCGCGTCAGGGTGTGCCCAGCCCGCCGCAGCCTCTTTCCCTCCTCGGTTACGACCGAGGGAGAGGTGAGGGAAGCGCAGCGGCTGCTAAACAGAAAGCCGGTCCAAACAGGGTGATGGAGTGGTGTTCTCGCGAGACAGTAGAGCGGGTATACATCGGGCTCCGCCCCTGTACCCATAGAGTGGCGAAGTCACGCCCATCTACTTCCGGTCCATGGGACCTTATTTCGGAAAAATTATGTATTGAAGTCAATGGAGAGAGAAAACGTAACTTTCGATCCCGTTTGAATTGTGCCACGAATTACACATATGATGTTTGTCAATCTTAAAAAATAATTTCCATGTCAAAAAAGTCAGTTTTTCGTAAAACTATTGAAAAATTATGGGCTCAGAACAGTCTCATAATACACACATGCACACAGAAGGATTCAAACTTGTATTTCCGGATCCATACTTGTGTTTTTCAATGCACACACAAATGTATTCCGTTTCATATACATGTAAATAAAATCCAAATACAGAAAAAAGTTTTACATATGTATTTTTGATTCTCACTTATTAGTTTCCCGTTTAAATCTCCTGAACCTGCAAACACAAACAGCTTTCTGTGCACGGATCGCTTTGCATTCGTGTGTGGGTTTTTTGAGACTCCCCTGACGGTCAGCCGATTCGTACTTGTAATTGTTTCTATCTATAGCCAATCAGATGTCTCCTTCATTCTAAGCCAATCACATGAGCGCGCCCCCACGAGGGTAAGATTACTTCATATACGCATTTTTGCGCAGTCCGGTCAGCTCGCTAAACAGAGGGCGGAGCATCAGGTGATCATGCAGAGCAGCGTGTCTCCATCAGACTCAGCAGCTGATCTGATCTCTCTCTCGCGTCCGGTTATACTTCACTCGCGTTTATGTCCATATCGATCAGATCCAGCTCTCCTGATCGGTCTTTATAGAGAGCACCGATCAAACTATTAAGAGTGAATATCGGCCGATAATGACCGGCGGGGCTCCCCCGTGTTAACTGATCGATTAGGCTAAGCTAACCTGTAGCTGCTCCACACTCACAACAACTTCATACAGACATAAATAAAGCAGCTGTATTCGCCATACAGGAAACACACATTTAAAACGGTTTTGCCTGCCGTTTTTGTGTACACAAGCATTCATCAATGGTTTGGAAAGTGGCGCTGTACCTTCCTTAATAATATAAAGGCTTGTATTTGCGTGCATTTCCTGTTCGGAAAGTGGCGCTGTACTGAGAATGGAGGGTGTCCTGAGATTAGCGCCTGCAGGCAGGCTCCATGGACCTGTCAGCTCCGGACTGCGCAATATGCGTACATGAAGCGCTACGTCATGAACGCAAGAAATCTACCCTCGTGGGGGCGCGCTCATGTGATTGGCTTAGAATTGAGGAGACATCTGATTGGCTATAGATAGAAATAATTACAAGTACGAATCGGCTGACCGTCAGGGGAGTCTCAAAAAACCCACACACGAATGCACAGCGATCCGTGCACAGAAAGCGGTTTGTGTTTGCAGGTGCAGAGGTTTTAAACTGAAAACAAATATGTGAGGATCAAAAATACACATGTAAAACTTTTTTCTGTATTTGGATTTTATTTACATGTATATGAAACGGAATACATTTGTGTGTGGATTGAAAAACACAAGTGTGGATCCGGAAATACAAGTGTGAATCCTTTTGCGGATCATGAAATACAAGTGTGAATCCTTCTGTGCGCATGTGTGTATTATGAGACTGTTCTGAGCCTATGACCATGAAAAATATCCGTCTGATGAAAGGACCAGGAGTGGCTGGATCAAGTTAGCTACCTTGCTAGTAGCAAGCACGTTAGTTAGCATTACAGCCTTAGCCATGTCATTTTTATTAGCCTTAACATGAAGTGACATTAAGTAACCCGGGGGAAATGCTAACGCTAACGCCACATTAGCATAGGCGATCTTTTGTACTTCATGCTATCTGCACAAATGGTTGACATTACACATTTAAAAGATCAGGCAGTTCAGAGAGAATCAAAGGCAGGAAGGCAGGCAGGCAAGCAGCTTTGCATGACATTCTTCTGGACGTGTAGTCGATCCCTTGTTTAGCAAGACAGTAGTGACGGCCATCTTGGTGACGTCTGTGTTGTTGTGCGAGAGCAGAGATGTAGTTCTTTGAGCGTTTCACACACAAAATGTTGTTACTTCACAGTTTTTTTGGACTGGCAAAATTATCTTTTAAATTCACAAACATCATATGTGTAATTCGTGGCATAATTCAAACGGGATCGAAAGATAATCTTTCTCTCCATTGACTTCAATACATATTTTTTCCGAAATAAGGTCCCATGGAGGTCCACCGGAAGGGGAGGGACTTCGCCACTCCAGTAGAGGGCGGAGCCTGTGAGAGATATAACGTTGGGTTACGTATGGTAACCCTTGTTATATAAGCACAGCGGAGCCCTCTACTTATGGAAGCACTGCTGTCCTATGCTTCTTAGCTGAAGAGAAAGTAAAGGGATAGCAGTGAGGGGGCAAGGCCGCCCAGGGGCCGGCTACGTCTATGGAAGTCTCAGTGAAGGAATGCGTGCATGAATAGGATACATGGGAGTAGCCATAGAGTCCAGTGAAGGGCTCCGCTGTGCTTATATAACAAGGGTTACCATACGTAACCCAACGTTTTAATACAGATCATTTTTTTAGATCAAACACCAGAATGATTTTTCTCACCTGCCTCTCGGGCTTCCATAGAAAACTTGATTAATATCCAAAGCTATCAGTCTCTCACTTTTGTCAGGCTAAAATGATGAGATATGAGGTCACCAAGTCAGACACTGAAAACCAGCTTCTTTCATTCTTTGTTCATTATCTGCCCTGGGCCCTGCACTCACATCCCACACACTTTTTCCTTTTTTCTTGTTTCATTCCCAGGTCATGTTTAGCATCACTGTGACATCTAAGGGCTGTCCTAAGCAAGGCAAGCCTGAAACCATCAAGATCAAGCCCCTGGGATTCACAGAGGAGGTGGAGATTACCCTCAACTTCATCTGTGAGTGTGAATGCAACCAGGACGGCATCGAGAACAGTGAACTCTGCCACTTCGGTAACGGCACCTACGAGTGTGGAGCCTGCAAGTAAGTCTGGAAACCTTTTGATTTGGATCTGTTTTTCGTCTTAAGAAATGCTCCAGAATCTCAACCTCTTCTGTCTCAGGTGTAATGAAGGACGAGTGGGCAGACAGTGTGAGTGCAGCAGCAACGATGTGGCCACAGAGGACATGGACCGGACCTGCAGGAAAGACAACGGCACCGACATCTGCAGCAACAATGGAGACTGTGTGTGCGGCACGTGTGAGTGCAAGAAGAGAGATAACCCCGAGGAGAGGTACAGCGGCCAGTACTGCGAGTGTGACAACTTCAACTGTGACCGCTCTGGAAACAAACTGTGTGGAGGTGAGCACGACGGAGAAAAAAAACAATAAGAGACTGCTCAGAGATGGTTTAATACACCTCGGTTGATTTGTTTCTGTTTTTTTAGGGCATGGACGCTGTGAGTGCAGAGTGTGTGTCTGTGACCCCATGTGGACCGGAAGTGCCTGTGATTGTTCTCTGGACAACAGCACATGTATGGCCAGCAACCAGCAACTCTGTAACGGCAGAGGAACGTGTGAATGTGGCACCTGCAAGTGTACTGATCCCAAATTCCAGGGTCCCACCTGTGAGACTTGTCCTACCTGTCCAGGGGTCTGCACTGAACACAAGTAAGACTGAAATGAAGACATGTCAATGTTTTTAAAAGCTCATATTACAAATATTGATGTATTGTTTGGTGTATTTGAACATTTGAAGGATAAATTCACATTTCTTTAAGTATGTCTTAATAAAATATTCACACACATTAAACAGATTGAATCAATACCTGTGCTAAACAGCATTCGTAGTTAGTTTCCGTAGTATAGCTGCTGGTTTGGCTTGCTTTCCAACAGCTTTTACACATAGATTTAAAGTTAGGTACTGTAAATCCTATAGCTCCAGATTCCCATGATTTTTATCAAAATCACATCCAGAAGATCCAATTATCTCTTCCCATTTTGAAGAAGCATCCAAAAATCTTCTCTGAATTCATTGAAAAAGCAGCCTCCTCCATCATCTATTACATTTTTTTCAGGATTGTATTCCTGTTATTGCTATCTTCATATCTATTGGTTTACGGCAAACAGGGACTGCTTGCGTGTGCATGATAGTAGCTAATCATGCACACTTTTCATATCAATAATCTATTACAAATGTAAACAAATAAAGGATTTGAAAGTGTTGACTTTGTAAACATCCTGGTCTAAAGTAAAAAGGACAATTTATGGAAAGGGATGCTGCTGTTGAATTTATAATGCCATTCTTCAGAACGTGCACAATGTAGTTCTATTTACCTACATTTTCATGGAATGGGGGCAAACATTTTAGATATGTATATGATCTTTTGAATTTGTGAAGCATAGCTCATCTCGTTGCTTATCACTAACAAACGCCCTGTATCTTCCAGGGAGTGCGTCCAGTGCCGGGCGTTTGGCACGGGTGAGAAGAAGGAAACATGTGAGAGAGACTGCAGCGACTTCAACCTGATCAAGGTGAAGGACCGGGAAAAGCTGCCCCAGCCCAACGACGCCACCTACCCCGTGATGCACTGCAAGGAGAGAGACGCCAACGACTGCTGGTTCTACTACACCTTCGCCGTCAACAACAACACTCAGAAGGAGGTGCATGTGGTGGACATACTGGGTAAGCAGAAAGCTGGGCCAACCAGGGTGTGGAAGGTTTCTGTTACAGAGAAAGCTAATTACAGGGTCTGTGGTGGGGCTGCGAAAATAGCACATTTGTTTATTCACATACAGCCGTGTGAGGGTATGTTATTCCCATGGCCTTGTTTTTTTTGCACATTTATTTCAAGCTGCCTAAACACCTCTGTTGTGTTTCAGACTGCCCCGCCGGGCCTGACATTATCCCCATCGTGGCGGGCGTGGTCGCCGGCATCGTCCTGATTGGCTTGGCCCTGCTGCTCATCTGGAAGCTGCTCATGATCATCCACGACAGGAGAGAGTTCGCCAAGTTCGAGAAGGAGAAGATGAACGCCAAATGGGATACGGTGAGTGTTTGGAACCGGCTCTGTGAAAGACTAGCAGGAATAACATTTTCGATTTTTGGCTGGTAAGGTTATTTAAATGTAGAAAACAGGTGTTCTGTAAAGCCACAAGTGTCAGGGAATTAACTTGTGAAGATGATTTGTTGTTCTAAGCAGCAGATGAGATTTGCAGACTTGTTGATATCAGTGTCTCACTCACATTCTCACCAGCGCTTTTGAGTGGCGCTCAAAATCAAAAGGGAAGTTGTCAGGCACTGTGTGGACTTTTTTGGGAATGTTATGCAGTCTGAGCATGGCTGGACTTTTTCCGGGGAGTGGCCACAGTTCCTCCCTTCCATGCTTCCAGCCCATCAGCCAACATCAATATGACTTCAGCACTACTCCATGTGCAGCTCAATGCCTCCCCCTAGTGGTGGAATTGTGTCATAACCCATATATAATGTGGGTTTGGTGATGCAGATGTTCCTGATCAGTATGCTGGGGTCTTACTTATTACCATGGGCAGGGCAACCTATGGCTCCACATCCCTTTAATTTGAAGAAATGAGAGACTGTTCTGCCCTGGGTTTCCTTACAAAAGCAGCCTTAAGGAATTCCAAAGATACTTTGTGATCTCCTCATGTTTACAACCACATCATCCTGATCTGTAGCCTCAACAGTTTGGGGTTTTAGTAAGTAAAAATAAATTTGGTTTAGGTTTCACAAAATCATTTTCTTCCATTGTCCTCCTTTCATCTCTCTTACTGTTCCTTATTCAAACTTTTCTCCCTTTTTATAGTGCCTTTTATATTATTCGTTCCTTTGTTTCTGTTCTATGTTTTTCCTGCTCAACTCTATTCTTTCCTCATTCTTTACCCATAGCAAGACAACCCAATATACAAGAGTCCTATCAATCAGTTCCAGAATCCAAGCTATGGACGTAAAGCTGCTGTCCTTTAAGTTTGTATTTTCTCTCCTTTCCACCTCATTTTCCTGCATGGGCTTTTCATTATGTTATATTTTTCACTGAGTATCTACTTTTTCCTTTATTTCACCTGTCTTTTCAAACTATGAACTACATTTTCATAAGACTGGAACATCAGGAAGAGACATATTACTTTCAAATTTTGTGAAAAATGAGTGCATGAGTGTGCTGTGAATATCAAGGCAGCTAAAAGTGTCTACAGGGCAAAAATACTAAAACCTTCTCTGGTAAGTATACAATGTGTTTAAATATGATGCCTAATTTAAACCTCCTGATATTTGGTGTGAAGTCGCAAAAGCATGACGGTGTGCTAAGTGTGATTTAAACAAATGACCTACAAGAAGGTGTAGTAGTCTTATCCCTAATAACAAAGTGTGTTCGCAAATTGTCTGACTAAGCAATAACATGATTATAACTTCAATTTCTTTGCTTTCCAGGGTGAAAATCCCATCTACAAAAGTGCTGTCACGACTGTGGTCAATCCAAAATATGAAGGAAAATAACTGGTCACGGTTTTCCATGAACTCTGCTATCAAGTATCCGACAACTGCAGTATTTACCACAGGTCTGCGGAGGAACCTGTGGTCGAGTTTCTGTCATTTCCTTTTGTTGCTTCCCCATTATAATGTACCCAGCAGCCACTGCATCTGTATTTTTACTAACACCTATGATTTATATGCATTTGTGATATGTTAGATGTACAGTATCAAGTATGTGTATATACTTTTAAGTTGCATATTTGCAAAAAACAATGACATGAAGGTGTTCTCTTCCTGCCACAGGACTGGTATGGCAGAGGATTACACCTTTTTTTTTTAACAGCACAATATGGACACTATGGATATTCAATTATTCTGCAGCTTCTGTCTCGTTCTCAGACACTTCTCTGTCTCTTCGTCTCTCTGTGCACTGACTTCCTGTGTGTCTCTGTGTGTCAGATAGGACATGACTTCTATATGTAAATTGTCAGCCATAGCAGCACATAAGGTCAATGTGTGTGTGTGTGTGTGTGTGTGTATATAGATAACAACTGAAATGTTAAAGGTCATGTCATGCTTTTCCGGTTATTACCCATCCCCTTGTGTGTTATGAAGGTTTTTCTGCATGTAAACAGTCTGCAGTCACAAACCCTCAAAGTACACCCTGTAGCGAGTACAACTCTAACACAGAAAAGACCTGTCTATGCTGCCCCAGAACGCCTCGTTGGACATTTTCTTTTTTCTTCCGGGTACCAAGTGACGTAACGACGACCAAATGGACCCATCCGTGGAGCTCCAACAAGCCGTGTAGGACAGAGAGTGAATACACATACTATACAGAGATGCTGTATGAGAAAACCAATGTGATTTTGGAACATTGAACAATGTCAATCTATTCTAGTAGACCTCAACAATGGAATTATGATCAGTAGAAATGGCCATAACATGGGACCTTTAAGTATTGAATAATATTTCACATTCAACTTTGATTTGACCATTTGTTGAAACAGTAGTGGTGTGGTTGTAAATGTAGTTTTGAACTGCAGCTTTACATTTGAATGCACTCTTTGTGAGTATTGTTCTGAAGGAGTAAATAAATACACAATATGAAGAATTGTTGTTATCACAAAGGGACTGTATACCACTTGTTGAAATTATGATATTGTGGCAATGTTGAACAATCCACAGATTTGTATAGTTATGATACAAGTTTAACGTTGAACATTGTTGTACTTGCAGTAACTTTATTACTCTTTCTCAGGTCCTTTCCTGTGTTCTTGTCAAGTACGCCAAAAATAGTTTTGTGTTGGCTTATTTTCGTAAACTAGTGAACTCATGTGTGAGTCATTCTGTCAATTTTGAGATCATATGACGGAAACAAGAGTGTTTCTGTTCCGTATTCACATGAATCACCTCTGAAATGCTTTCACCTCCCAATGCCTCTGAAGTACCACATGCAAGCCTTTAAAGTATTGTTTTCAAAGTGCCTTTTATTTCAATATCTTGTTCTCTCCCAATGCTGTTTGAGTTATTTATTAAAAGTACAACAAATGTCTGTGTCTTCCTGTTTCGCTAACTGAACCTACAGTATGAGGTAGATTACATTACATTGCATTTAGCTGACGCTTTTATCCAAAGCGACTTACAATAAGTACATTCGACCAGGAAGACACAACCTTGAAGAAAACAGAATCATATAAGTACATCAGGTTTCATAGAGCCAAACATTTCAAGTGCTACTCAACTGGCTTTAGGTAAGCCAGTCCTTTATTAGTATAAAAGTGCTTCGTTAATAGTTCTAACGCTCGAAGTGGAGTCGAAAGAGATGAGTTTTCAGTTTGCGCCGGAAGATGTGCAAGCTATCTGCTGTCCTGATGTCAATGGGGAGCTCATTCCACCATCTTGGAGCCAGGACAGCAAACCCACGTGTTTTTGCCGATGGGAACTTGGGTCCCCCTCGCAGCGAGGGTGCAGCGAGTCGTTTGGCTGATGCAGAGCGTAGTGCACGTGCTGGGGTGTACGGTTTAACCATGTCCTGGATGTAGGAAGGGCCAGATCCATTCGCAGCATGGTAAGCAAGTACCAGTGTCTTGAAGTGGATAGATCATCCCATTTGTTCTGTAGAAAATGCACCATAAGGCTGATGGCTAGAGGCATGCTCCAATGTTTTAAAAACATTTCTGATGATACTGAAGAGCAGTTAGTCAATAACAATGAGTTACATACGCAATTCAAGTTCAGAGCATAGCATGCATTATATATTCTGCCATGTTTTCATCTAAAACGTTATTGATAATATAGAATCTGTATAAGGAGTATTTGAAAAATAAATGTTAAAAAAAGAATGAGAAAGATTGATGCAACTTAGCCGTAGAATAGATCCTCAGTGCCTCTGTGTTTTGCTCTCTAATGACGCCATCCCACCTTTTCTTGACTTATCAGCTTTTCTGTACGACATAACGTTTTTTATGTATATTTATAATAACATCTGCCCATTATATTTATGTCAACTAGAAATAAAAAATGCAATGAAAGCGTTTTCCTTTCAAATACATAATTAGTATTATTAACATATTTAATACAACTAGTTCAAGGGCATACACTATATGCACAGCAACCGTGTGTGTTTTTATCCCTGAAGAGAATGATTCAATTATAAAATGCAAATTAAAAAAATAAGAAATTCATTAGACCTATTTTTCCTCCAAGTGTGTCCTATTGTATTGTAAATCACACACATGTCTATGCAATATATAATCATAATCCCAGGGTCTGCTTATTTATGTAAACCCATCACCTACAAGCGGAAGTGCCACAAATCAAACAGGATATGGTTGGAGTGAGGCGTCTTCGTAACAAGACATTAACCACTATCTTTGTAGCAAGCTGTAAACAGGAACGCAAGTAACCGAGGAACGCCGTTTTAAGCAGGCTGTTTTAGCCGTTTATCAAGAGTAACACCGCTCACTGTTCAAGAAAAATGGAAGACGACACACTAACGACGCTGAAAATACTGATAATAGGGGAAAGTGGTGTTGGGAAGTCAAGGTAAGCTGTAGTTATCTCAAAGAAAATGATGTCGTGGCTCACTGCTGAGATAGCTAGCGTTAGCTTAGCAGCCAACCAAATTATGTGATGTTCAAAGATAATGCGGCATTTTAAAAATGACTTAGACTTCTCCGCTTTAGTGGTTTTCTTCTTTAATGTAAAAACCAGACCTTGATTTTACGTTGTAAATGTAAATACAGTTTATGGTGTTGGCAGCCAAGCTAACCTTAGCTAACTGAAGGTAGCTGTGTGTGACATCACCCATTTCATGTCTGACAGATGTTGCAATCGAGACGGCTATGCAAGAACTATTCCCTATTTCTAATCTTACTTTATCTGGCAGTAATACATATATTTATCTAAGATCAAGAGGTTAACACATCAATATGAACAGAGCTAGCTAGCACTATCTTAAAGAAATAGCAACATGTAACAGGTCATGTTTCAGTTAGTTTGGCCTCTTCAAAGACTGCTGTATAGCTTTTACATCACATTTGATTTAGCCAACATGTGGTAAGCAGGTCCTTGTTAGCAACCACAAATCCGCCTAATATTCAAGGTAGAGTATAATGTTTTTACTGAGTCTGGCAGTGTGCCAACTTGCTGAGGTTTTTCTGGCATCCACCTCTGTGGTCCAGACTGCATGAAAGAATCCTGATAGCCAGCCTGATCCATCAACCATCACATGGCAGTCTATGGTATCTAGTACTGCATGCCTTCCATAGTCATAGCATGGTACATAGGTAATGAGCTGCCCACAGCTTTATTGTAAGCCTTTTGACATGGGAACTGTCTGGTTAATAATCATGTATCACTGCAAACTGATGACAGGGCCACATATTCTTAAAATGACAAGGTGAACCACAAAAGTGTGCAGTAATCAGAAGAGTGATATCTTCAGCATGATCAACAGGATATCCTATGTTAAAGGGAATGAGTATACCCTTCAGCCAAATTAAAAGTTTGTCGAGAAAGTACATCATTTCAAATGTTTGTACTAATTCATGCACTTAACATCCTCAAATGTCAGCGCCAATATTGCATTCTTACCTCCCCTATTCCATTGGTTTGGCATCATCCTATTTTTTTTTCTTTTTTACATAACAACACATGAGCAGGCTCATTTACACCTTGAATCTGGGCCTGTTTTAGTATAACAGTAGCAATGTCTTGTTTTCTTTTCTCCAGTAGTGCTGTTAGTGTTCTTAATGTAATGATAGAGGAGAGACTGAGAGTATGCCAACACCATCATGTATAGACCTAGATGTGCTTATAGTTTGAGAAAACAGAAGCGTTTTGTAGCCAGCTATATGGTGCGCTGACTTTTTAGTGCATTATTGAGCCAAAAGGCGTTTTCCAGAATTTGTATTATTATTATTATTAATCTTTTCCTTAATACAATGAACTTCAGTCTATGATTAGTTTCCAATATCATGATTTGAATGCTCCTGAGCCAGCTGTACAATTGTCAAGATGGTACACTGACTGGACTATCTTTGAAGTTGCATGCAGATATTTAATATGTTTCCCTGCAATCTGTTGAAGCCCTTAAATCATCAGGGATGTCTGGCATTGAATACACAAGTTTTATTTTACCGTAACAAATGACCTACACAGAACACATGTTTTACTTGGCTGTCTTATAGTCTAGCTCATCAGTTGAATGGCCCTCTAACAATAAACAGTCAGCGCTCCAGCATCCTTCCTCGTGCCCCATGAGGAAAAATAAGAGAATTAGGCTTGGGTCAGGGGAAAGAGGGTGCGCTTATTCCATCACCAGCGCTGCGATTATGGCCTTAGCACTTGATTGGTCATAGTTAAGAAATGAACCCTGTCCTCACTGCAATCTGACGGTGATATCATCTGCCGCATGTACGACGCAAGTGTAGATCAAAGACATCAATCGAAAGAGAAACAGATACATAACTCAGTGAGATGCCGCTTGCCCTGTTATCTAAACGACAAAACCTGATCCCAGACCAAACGACTTCTCAACCTGCGTGGAATAGAATAACTGAAACAAACTTCTGCTGTGTTTGTTAGTGATAAATTACGTGATCTAATTATTTCCTTCTTCCTGTCAACAGCCTTCTTTTGAGATTCACAGATGACACGTTTGACCCAGAGCAAACGGCAACAATAGGTGAGTAACACATGAGCTCAGTGAGAGGTAAAGAAATAGCAGTGTTTTGTTGTGTGGTAACAGCGAGTGCATTATAATGGAGTGAAAATGAGACACGTCTTTAATGGTACACACAAACAAGGATTTTATTGAATTAAATCATTAGGGGAAGCAGTGAAGTCTGCAATTATCAGCTCATATTATATATTTTAGCTCCTTGAATGTTATTCATACCCACAAAAAAGAATGGACAAAGTGTATCCATGTATCCAACCCTATGTGAGCTAGGGATCGACCGATATGGCTTTTTAAGGCCGATACCGATTATTAGTCATCAAGGAGACCGATAACCGATATTTGGAACCGATATACATTTGCAGTAAAATCAGAAAATCTTGGTGTCAAAATGTAGAATAACACAAACTCCAACACAACTTCTTTGAAATGCATTTAAGCATATATTATGTTTAATGAACTTTTAAACATCTTACAACTGGTTTCCTCTCTGTGCCCTTTTCTTTAGTGCAGCCATCTGCAATGAGTTAGAGAGAGAGACAAGAAGTGGGGCTGCAGGCTGACATGCTTAACTAACAAGAATGCTTAATTCATGATATCAAAACAATGCCCGTCTATCTAGCATAAAATCCCAATAAGCTGCTAGCAACTGCAAAACACTAGTGCTAGCTAATGTTTTGCAAACTATTCAAAGTGAGGCTATCACAGTCGACCTAACGTTAGTCTCGTAGCCTCACTTCTAATATTTTGCCAAACATTTGTTAGATACATGTTGGCTAGCTAATGAGCTTCACATATCAACCTGAAAAACTGCGAGGCTCCACTCGCAGCCCCTCCCCTCCGCACCACAGTTACTCCGCTGTGAGACGCTGCACGCACCCGCAACTCTGACTGACCTCCTGCGTCCCTGTGTAACTGGGAAACTGATAGAATTGGATCATAAGATCGTGGTGTTTTTGAAACTTCAGCATAGGGGATTGGGATGTTTATTGAACTTCGGTTTAACACATGTATGCCGCTCAGCGCTGCTGCTTGCTTCAGTCTGTGTCTGCATTCTTTCGCACCTGCCTGTAATCTGAGAAGGTCCCGCCTCTCTGGCTGGCTCCCGCCCGGAAAATCTGGTGACTGCAGCCAGAGAAACGGCCGCAACAGAGACAACGTTTTATCGGCAATTTGATAATAAAAAAAGGCCGATACCGATAATCGGTCAAATGCGGAATATCGGCCCCGATAATCGGCCTGACCTAATGTGAGCCTTGGTCATGAGATATTTAAGAGAAATGTTAAGTAATCTGAGTGATCTTAGTGCAGTCTATTGGTTCAAAACTCATGTATGACTCAATCATCCATATGAGTTTTGAACCAATAGACTCGCTGCTTCACAAAGGTCTGTAGAGCCAATTAAAGCAGACGTGTTCAGTGCTGCTTGGTGAATGTTCTTATAGTTTTATGGGTCTACAAGGCTCCAGACATGTTGTGAGTTTTGCCGAGACTTAAGCTGAGCATGATTTTGGAGATTTATAACCTCCATCTCCATCTCCACAGGATTGACACTGAACAGTTCAGCCATCTTCTTCTTCGTCTTGACATTAAATTATAAACCATAATAATTAAATTGTATAGGTCTAGCCTCCCTATATCTGTGTGTGTTCCATGCTCAAAAACAAAAAACTAATGCTTCTGCAGTCTAGCTGCAGCTTCTAGCAACGGTCTTCTGTTAAAAAAAGGACACTGAATGTCCTGAATGTGGCATCACACTCAGGACTTGAGTCTGAACACAGCAGACAACAGGAGTATTTACAACAGCATATAACAACTAAAATACTGCATGTGGGTGCACACTTACATTCTCTGTCTTACTGTTACATAAATCCCATGAATGTAGGAGATTAAGTTAGCTTCATTATATCTCAGTGATTAAGTGAATAATAAAGTTTCTATCGGGTCACTATCAGCCTGTCACTCATTATTTTCAGGAGGGGGCGGGGCTTAGAGGAACAGAGGAGACGGTGATCGCGGAAGCTTTCTTCCTCCTGCCTTCACAAACTTTACACAAGTATTTATCAACTGAAAATAGCTAGAGGACATTCATACTCTGCAATCCAAGACTTGATTAAATCCACCAAAAACCTGACATGACGATAACGAGTGTTTTTCAAAAACACAAATCCCTCCCTGTGTCTCTGAGCCGCAGCGACAGGGCCTGATTCAGAGCGGGTTCTGCTGTTGGTTCTGGACTGGTGTTGGTGGAGAAAGCAGACTGCTCCGTGTGTGCTGCTCCAATTTTATATTCGTGTGACAGAAACAATTCTAAAATAAAAAAACTTTATTGTCCAGCCGCGGTCGAAAAATCAAGAAGCAACCTTACTACGCTATAATCGAGCGGCGAGCTACTGAAAAGCTGCCCGCGAGCTACGTGTTGGAGAGCCCTGCTCTAAACCAAGAGGTCCAGCAGATGGTTTGAGTGTGGACTTCTTTAAGAACTCAGCTAACAAAGGATCATCCTTTGTCAGCTGAGAACCAAACGTTTTGATAACAGTGTTAGGCAACAGTAAGACAGTAAGTAAGGCAACAGTGAGATCTAATGTAATGTTATAGTGTTCAAGTTTAAACAGAAACAGGCCTTTATAAGATTCCTAAAGGTAGAATACTTGAAACATGAGTGTACCTAATATAACGTGACCACGTAGTGTGCATTCCAAATATATATTTGTGTTTAACATTTATTTTATGTATAGAGTAAGCTCATTAGGTGTGTCAGAATATTTGTTCCTTCTTGAGTTTTTAGGACTTCTAAAGGACTACCGTAGACAACGATTGCTACCACATTGAGTAAATGAGACATAAACTGTTGTTCATTCTGCCTCGTAGCTGGTACGCCCTGCTGCGGCGGCTGGCAGGCCCTTCACATTGTTCTGAACAACAATCCAAACAGAACTACTGTAATCGCTTCTTGTATCAATTACACACCCAGCAGGCTAATAATTGCAGAGCGTTTTAAATCAGTTATTTCAAGTTAAAGATGATTTTGTCCTGAAATGAAAGTCAATTTGAGGTCACTGTGCGTGCAGATGTTTGGCCTTTTAGAAGATCTGCTAACAGCTGGAATGAGCTGGAAGTGAAAGTAACCGCGATGCCACACACCCTCTCAGCCACAGATATATTTAATTTAATTCTAACTTCATGAAAAGGTTGGAAACATCTGCAGTGGACCAGGCAATCAATCTTATCCTGTGAACTTTGACATACATTATTCAGCAATTCAGTCGATGTCTTTCCAAATTGTGATGGATCAGCTTCTTTTTAGTGATATGAATCATTTGAAGCACAGAGGACACACCTGTTGTTTTTTAAGGCTGTAACTTCCTCCCTTGTCTTACGTTCAAGCATTCAGCAACTCCAGATTTACAATGTTCTACTGATAAGTTTAGAGAAATGAACCACCCTATCTAATGTGGTTTGTAAGGAGCGTATAGCTCACAGTGCTCGCTTTGTTACAGCTAGAGACACACATCCCAGGAGAGGTTGAAACAGTTGAAACACTTTTTCTCTTCTCCCAGGTCAGGGCATGGATCTCTGCTGGGAACTTTTGCCAAACAGATGTCTTTATTGGAGCTACGCCTCCATCGTTGACTGAAGTTCCTTTATTCAGACAGAAATGTAATCCGCCATCACTCCATCTCAATTATTGCAATTTTCATCCCTGCCACACCTAAACTGTGTAACCGAGTAACAGTGTCCCGTTAGCAGACAGTGTATTTGCATCATTTTTGAATAAATAAATAAAATACAAATAAAATATTCATTCGTCTTGGCCGTTCCCCTTCATTACAAAATTAAATAAAAATAAAACAAGTGAGACAAATGGAGAAAATTATATATATACATTTATTTATGTATTAATAATGAAAGTATATATATGTTATGAAGTAAATGATGTATTAATATAATTTACTTGAAGTAAATCAGTTATAACTGATAACTGATTTACTTCATAACAATTCAATTTTACGTGTATGCGTAAAATTGAATTGAAAATGTAACCCCCCTTGGCCCCCCCTCACCCGCTGTTATTGTCCTGCTCTGTGTGTAATGTGTGTGAGCATTGTCCTTATGAAACCTTTTGAAAAGAAAAATAATAGAAAAAAATACAATAAATGAAAAGGGACCTATCGTGCAAAATGCACTTTGTGATGTCTTTTATACAATATGTGTCCCCGGTGCGTCGGGGAACTCACGCAGAGTCAGAAAATAAAACCCTCTCTCTTTTCCTCCGTACCCAAATCTTTTAAAAACGGGGTGTACGGATACAGATTTGCTGCCAAATCGGCAGCGGCGGACCCACAGAAAGTCAGAAACAATGCCTGACGTGTTTTGGACGTAATCTCGTCTTTGTTTACATTAGCAAGCCTCGCTAACACTCAGAGCTAACCTGTACTGTGTAGAGCACATGTGTTTAAAAGGGAGGAAATAAAAAAAGAACTCACCTTGTGATAAACCTGCAAGAGAATAAGCATTTGAGCTCCATACTGTTTCAGAAGTAATCCTTGATGTGGTTTAGAACAGGATGGTGTTTTATCACAGCAGAATTTAACTTTATCTCCGGTAGAATTCTGATCAGGCATTAGCTCCGCCTCCTCTTTCTTTCTTTTTTCAAGCTAAGGACCCAAGATCCGCGTTTCTCTAACAGGGCTTCAAAAGAGGGGTTTGAGCAGTATGAGGGATGGCTACAACGGGTCAACTGTTTGGTATTTGAAGCAAAACACTTCACAGACATGTTTTGTATAGGTATGGCCCAACAATATATGTTTCCAATATAGCATGATAGGTCCACTTTAAAGCAAAAAGGTCCAATATAAGATAAACATTTTTGGAATGAATATATTTAAATGAACATAAATATTCACATTGTAATGAAGTTAAATATGAATTGTACACGGCTGAGCAGGCCTGTTGTCGAAAAACGTATATTAATAAAGTTATCATCACTTGGAATCAGTCATTACAAAGGGTTAAAAAGAGACAGGGAAACGCGGACTCACCTTGTTGTGTATTTATGTCATATTTCTATTTAGGGCTGTTTTGAGGCCTGCAGACATGTTGTCTTCCAGCAGTAGCATCTTGTTGTGTTCTCTGGAAGAGATCCGTCTGGTCTAAGGTTAGGGGAACGTTCAGCGTAAACTCCTCTCCACATGCTTTTGGCAACAGTATCCGAGCAACCCTGCTGGACTTGAGCTAGTTGTTGTGATTGACTGTGTGAACGCTTTTTATCCTGTGTGTGGTGCGCATTCTAATGTCATATATCCTCCGCCTGTCTTCGTGTCGCCTCTTCTCCTCCTCTGTTTTGGCTCGGCGCTGTACTCTCCTCCCTAGCCCCAGATGTAAAAACAAGCCTGACACAAGTGTACATTTCCCTGGTAAATCTGTCAGTGGATGCTAAAGCTCCGGCCAGATATGTCACGCAAACACGACGAGACACTGCACAAAGGCAATAGAGGAGATTTACTTGTTGAGGGGATGGGGGACAGCGTTGTTATTTTCATGTAAATGTCTCTTCCTTTCGCGGCTGGATTTGTCAGGGTGAATCATGGTTCCCTGAGCCGTTGTGCAGGTGGTGGATTCTCTAATACAGACATTTAGGACATTAAACCACACACCGTCCCTTTGTGGTGGATATGAATACACAGTCACACTATGATTTAAAGACAGGACATGGGAAGGGCACAATGCTAGTCTGAAGAGTTGGGGTTAACAGAAGTTCAGAGACAAAGTGTGGTGTGTACGATCGGACAATTCATCATCCATAATTATCGTCTGTCAGGGATTTGATATTTTGGAGAGTCTCCGTACGGGGATTCAGGCCTTAAGCCCCTTTAAACTGAGCAATTCATATCCTATTAATACTAATATATATTTAATCTTCTTATTGCTCATTCTTACTTTAACTTATATTTGTTCTCTTTATTTAAAAATATTTAATTAATGATATAATGGAGCAACCTACATTTCCTGCAAAGTATTCAGATTCTCATTATTTTGCATAATTACTGACTGATTTTTGTTTTTATTTGACAGGTGTTGACTTCAAAGTGAAGACCATTTCTGTGGACGGAAACAAGGCAAAGCTGGCGATATGGGTAAGTGTCAGCTCTGCTCTACTCTCTCCTGTCACCCCTCAAACTAAAATATGGCTCTTATCTGTAAATTAGAGAGAGATGAACCGTCTCCTGACCCCTATCTGAATGTTCCCTCCAGTGGCCAGTAGATGGCGCTTATGTAACACCGCTCTTGCCTCACAGGAGTCGGCGGCCTTGTTGTTTACGTCCCCTCCGCCCTGCTTTTCCCTGTGTCTGTTGGAGCGTCCTGATTTCCCTGTGAGTGTCTCAGAGCTGAGCTGCTTGTGTTTTGCAGGACACGGCGGGACAGGAGCGCTTCCGGACCCTGACGCCCAGTTACTACCGCGGAGCCCAGGGAGTCATCCTGGGTAAGCCGAGCGGTCGACGCCATCATTGCTCCAACACCTGTAATGTGTGTGTGTGTATACATGTGTGTGCTCCATCAGGCAGGTCAGGCTCCTGGTTGTTAAGAGAGTGATGGCTTTTCATCCTGTGACCCACACACACGCACACTTTCTAGCCTCTTCTCTCTGGAAGTTAGTTTATGCCCTTAAGTCAGACTTCACATATGGACATGCATGTACAGCAGGTATATGAACACACACACACACTCGCAGGAACTTAGTTAAAACTCTTAAACAGACTTCCTCTGCAGCTTACGGTTTCTGACCACTCTAATGATGTATAGAAACACAAGGCGCCCTGCTCTAACGCTGGGATTATGATCGCTTCCCTTCTGATATCACAAGGCTTTAGTCCCTTGGTTTGATCAACCATGTGTTTTTACGTTAATACCTTTTTATTTTAGGTGGTTATTTTGATCTTAATTTGTTGTATTATACAATTTTGTACATGTTGAAATAACTCTTACGGACGTTAAGTGTTATTTTGTCTGCTTTTCAATAAAACAGCAATCAAGTATTCATTTTTAAATTGAAAGCCATAATCACTACAGAGAATAAAGGGTTAAAGGTAATATTATATACTTTTTTGATATAGTATACGTCTAATAATAGGATATTTTTGCAGCAAAATAATGTTTAAAACATGGATTCATAGAAAAAATGCCTTTCATGTGGTCTTAATCAGCACCTCAAATAAAGGTATTAGAACATGTAGAATGTGTGTATGCCTTTATTCTGAAACTCTATTCTGTATTTGTTTGTCCCAGTGTATGATGTCACACGACGGGAAACCTTCACCAAGCTGGACAACTGGCTCAATGAGCTGGAGACGTACTGCACGAGGAACGACCTCGTGAAGATGCTTGTTGGAAATAAGATCGATAAGGTGAGCTGTTTTGCATAATTAATTATATATCATTTTTCTTTTACATATATTTCAGAGAACAGGAAATTAAACATTAGTTTCCTCAAAAAAACAAAAAATCATCTTACAGCCATTTGACAAATGACAGAGCTAACTGACCGTGGCAGACTCACTTTCATATTGTGGCAGCTGCTCCTTCCTTCACCAGCACACCAGGATGAAATACCCACTAAGTAGAGCATGATGAATGTCCTGTTCTTTGTCTGTGAAATTCACTTTTCCTCTGTGACGGCCACAGCAGCTGACGGCTCCGCCCGGCAGACCTGGAATAAGCCATTACCTCTCTTTTGTTTTAGGAAAACCACGATCTAGACAGGGCCGAGGGGCTGAAGTTTGCAAGAAAACATTCCATGCTTTTTATAGGTAAGTCGGGAGGATTCCCCGCTCTACAAAGGGCTGCTGGGCATGAGTTACAGCAGGCCATTACACCGGGGAAACAACTTTGAAATAACTACCATCGTTTCTGAGGAATGCATTGCTCTATTCATAAAACGGGCTTAATATATCACCGTCCATGCGCTCTTATTCGCCCGGTGTTTTTAAAAGAGCTTGCATTTCTAGTTTCTGTCTTCATCAAAAAAAATTCATTTAAAAATATGTTGTTAAAAATGTCCAATCTAAAGCTCTCCTCGGCATTTTCTACATTAATTCTGATTAGATTTCGTAACTAAGATTGATGTCTAATTAGCATCTTAATGAGTCTGGGTATCATCATGTCGTGTAGCAGGTGTTGCCTACTAACCTCCTTAGGTTCACTATTGTTTGATTGTTGAGACATTTACACCCCCCCCCCCCCCCTGCTCCGAGCCCAGCATTTGATGATATCAAGATGCAGACATGAACAGTCCTCTTTCTTCTTTAATCCATTCCATCCAACTCGTCTTGCCTCTTTTCTCTCTGGCCTTTATTCCTTTTTGTTTCTCTCTCTCTCCGCAGAGGCGAGTGCTAAGACCCGTGACGGTGTCCAGTGTGCGTTCGAGGAACTGGTGGAGAAGATCATCCAGACCCCGGGGTTATGGCAGAGCGAGACCCACGGCCGAGGGGTCCAGCTCTCCGACGATGACGCGGGGGGGGGAAGCTGTGGCGGCTTCTGCTCCCTGGTCTAGACAACGCATGCAGATACACACACACACACACATGCAGATACACACACAGCCAAACCCCCCCCCCCCACTGTGTGCTGTCCTGAGCTGAGCTCCCTCCTCAGACATGAAGGCAGTGGAGGTCTCCCGTCCACACACACACACACACACACACACACACACACACACACACACACACACACACACACACACACACACACACACACTACCTGTGTCCTCACAGACTTTTGCACACTTTCTAATAACAACGCTGCGCTAAAAATGCAAATTCAGCTCGGCCTTCCTCTCAATGGGATTTGAGTGAGTTTCTCTCCTCTGTTTTGTTTTGAGTTCGTTTTTTTTTGCAGTTTTTGGTACTTGGTCAAAATGTTAACCATTCTCATTTCATACAGAGGATTTAAACAGTGGTGGAATGTACTGAATCAAGTTCTGTACTTTATTTTCTGCCACTATATTCTTCTACTCAACTTCATCTAGGAGAAAGAACAAAATCATTGATTTACTTTTTACATTAACATGACGTGTTTATATGATTTATATAAACTACTAACCCACTTGATAGAACTCAAAATATTCTAAATGTCCTCCAATTTTAAAATCAAAAAAAAAAAACTCTTAAATGTATTTATAAGTTATTAAAACAGAATAATATAATACTCTGTAATAAGAAAAGAGAGCCAATCTGCAAAATCAGCGCTTTAGTTACTCTAAGTACATTTTGCTGGCAATATTTCTCTACTTTTACTAAAGTAACATTTTGAACTCACAACTTACTTACATCCAATGGAGTATTTTTAAACGGTGGTATTACTAATCTGACTAAAGTATAGGATCTGAGTACTTTTTCCACCACTGGATTTAAATGAAGCAGGGCAGTGAAATGAGTCAAAGTAGAAACCAAAGTGAGTCAGGCTCATGGCTCGATGCAGTCTGATAATGAGAATGGAAACACAGATTTGACTCTGTCTTGTCTACAGCATGCTTATTGTCCTCGGAGCACCTCGCCTTAGTAAGCACATCTGTGTCAAAGCAGGGCCGACTTCCCCCCCCCTTGTCCTGTGCTTGATCCTGCCCCCAGACTCTATGAACATTACGCAGTTGCTTATGGAGAAGCTTATCACGCCAAGCCGTCTTGTATTCCCTCTCAGCACTAGAGGCTAAAGGCTTGGTATCATGTGTTGTTCACACAACTGCCTCATTTCTTCAGAACCTAATAGAGTTACCAACTGTCTGGAATGACGTTTTACAACTTTTTATTGACTTGGGACTTCAAACTTTTGATGTGTTTTTTTGAAGAGTGCATAAATCAAAGAGATTGGCACCAGCGAGCTTTCCACTGGGTGCCGAAGAAGACTGAACCTCTTAAAATTGCACGCCTTTGTTGTAACGAGTTGCTTTAATGGAGTGCGACCTACTGGCACCTCCTCACTCAGACAGATAATATCAGTAATGACACTACTATGGTTTTTCATATGGATCCCTCCGACTGGACAGACACAAAGGAAAAGTGTTCAATATTAAACGGGGCAGTGAGTCATAAGGGTGTTTCCACTGAATTTGGAAAATCAAAGAAAACGCTGTGTGCTCCCAGTGCTAATGGATTTTACAGTACTCCTATCTCTGTGTTTGCATCTGAGAAGCAGTTATAAATGTACGTACCCCCGACCTCTCACCATGTTTGTAGTATTCGAGTGCTGGTCTTTCTGGGAAACGTCGTTCTGAAAGTGACACAGGGATCGTGAAAAAGACATGGATACAAAGCATGTCTTATCACAATTTTTTTTAAATATCGTTTAATTGCATGGGAAACTCTGCGTGCCATTTGTTTGTTTGTCCAGTGAATGGCCTTCAGAGGCTTTTTACTATAAATACTTTAAATTATATTTAGCTGCAAGTAAAACATTGCATACCATTGGAAATGAATGGTATAACTAAACAAAAAGGAAGTGGCTTTTACTTATTTAACTGGTATAGCTGTCTTATATCTTCAGAAATATGTTGAAACATGTATACCTTGTAAATTGTGTGTATTTAAGGAATTTGGTGGGAAAATTCCTGTATGAATTGTAAATCTGAATGTATACATATTTCACTACAAACCGCTCTATGTATTAAACTAAATAAAGGACTTTTTTAAGTGAAATCAAGTGAGTTTGTTGCATGGTGTAATGCTGTATAATCTTTAACTCAAAGTGCCAGCTTGTATTATGATCAAGAAAAAGTCGTTTTTTTGGTTATGCTCAAATGTCCAAGTCTTTGTCAGAGATGAGCCATACATTGTCTGTCACGGTTGCCATGTTGGAAATGTCACTGTTAGGTGATGGGTTTTTCACTCTGCACCCTTCACATTCCTCTGTCCTCAGAATGAAGACTTGTGTTTAAACAGTGTCCGAGGAACCTCAGACCCCAGACGTGTGATCTATCTAAATCATCTTTTTGGCAGGCTTCTCAGGAAACACCACCGCAGCCATAACTCACTCTACCAGTGCTCTAACTGGGATGTGCCTAATTCCTGGGCGATTATGAAAGGGTCGGGGGCTGGCAGCGAGAGCGAGGACTCTTTCGCTCGTAGCATATCCCTCGTAGCATATCCCTCATCTCCTGCCGCAGCCGTCTGGAAATATGTCTCAGTCAAACAACAACGGAGGAATATGGCGTAATAATGCCTTCATGTGGTCCAACCATGTGCTGAGCTGTACCACTGCTGTTTCCTCGTGCCTACACTGGAAAAACATCAGCTTCTCAAGGGGCTGAGCTGACATATTCTATATTTTCTGAGAAGAATGTACAAAGATGGCAGATATACATTCCTTTTATAGCTACATCAGGAGAAGGACGGTGTGAAGTGGCCTTCCTAAAAGCCCCGTTCACTGCCCTTCTGTTTTTTATTATCGTTTCATTATTTGATTCTAAAATGGAGCAACAGTCACAAAACCTAATTTCCTGGTATTATGATTCTTATTCTGAATCTAATTATTTTTCTGATTGTCTGTAATTTGCAGGTATTAACCAGAGTATTGGACATGAATGTCGGGTTGGTGAAGAATGATATTCCTGATATACCTTTACAAAAATCACTGTTGAGGTGGCTTTACAGCTTTTAAAGGTGGGTTGACAACACAACAATTGTCTGTGGTATTGTAGAAGCAACGGGTGTTCTTTAACAGCCTAAAAAACATGCTCAACATTGTTTGAACGGCTCTAAAAATGTGTTTTCAATCATGACAATCAATCAAGTTCAAAATATAGATGTGGAAAAAGTTCATGAACAGAATGAAGATTGACATTAACAATGTTAATTAATAAATATACATAAAATAATATAAATACAAAATTATAATATAGTATATAGAATATATGTCATCAAAACAACAAGAAAGAAAGTCACTAAAAAGTGTCGTAGTATAGTTGTACAAAAAAAGTAATTGTATAATGTGTTGTAAAAAATGTCTCTATATCTACATATCCGTCGAAAAAAAGTCGATATTTTTTTGAAAAAACCACATAGTATAGTATGTTGAAATAAAGTCATGGTATGTCGATATTTTCCGAAATAAAAGTAATAGCATTGTCGAATTATTTTTACTAAAAACCCATAATATACTCTGTCGAAAAAATGCATTAAATGCATAAAAAACATGGTATTTTATGTCGAAATAAGGCACGATATAGTGTGTAGAAACCAGGCGTAGTATGTCGTAAAACATTTCAGAAAAGTCATAATATAGCATGTCGAAAAAATGCAAAAAAAAACTTGGTATTTTATGTCGAAATAAGGCACGGTATAGTGTGTAGAAACCAGGTATAGTTTGTCGTAAAAAATGATAGAAAAGTCATAATATAGCATGTTGAAAAAAATTACAAAAAAGTCATCCACCTTCTTTCCCCTAACTTTTAATGCATTTTTGCATTATTTTAATGCAAAAAACAACATATGTCGAAAATATGCCAAAAAAGTATGTTTAATAAGCTCACGGCATATAGGTGTAAGCAGGGGTAAAGTGCTATTTTTATAGGTGGTGTGTGGACCTAACCTCCTCTAGGGGGGGGGTCCGGGGGCATGCTCCCCCGGGAAGATTTATTTTTAAATATTGAAGTTAAATGCATCATTCTGGTGCACTTTGAGAGCAACATGAAGAGATCTATGCTATGGATACCTCTCTCAACACCCATATGAAACAGAACTGTAAACAGATTTACTTTATGGATATTTTACAAATCACTCCCCTTTTACTGTATTCTTGTTTTACTGTCATATAGTATTTCATACCTGTTTTTCATTTGTTCTCTTATTTTTTTATAACTATAATGATCATATAAACGTGTGCCTCGGAAATAATTGTTTACATTAATGGTGACCAAAACGTTTGAGACCCACTGAGATAACACTGAGAGAGTCCTTTAGCTCACTGAGGCCCATTCTCAAACCACACCCTACCCCTCAGTTTGCGCGTTCACGCGGAGGGTCCGCCATATTAAGGGCTGTTCCAAAGCAACGAGTGTGGAGCGGTGTGGGGGGGAGTGGACTATCAAGCCCTCACACAGCGAGTCTGCATGTCACTACGGCCCATTCCCATACCGCCCCCTACACCCTACCCCTACACCCTACCCCTACACCCTACCCCTCCGTTTGCGCGTTCACGCGGAGGGTCCGCCATATTGAGGGCTGTTCCAAAGCAACGAGTGTGGAGGGGGAGTGGGCTATCAAGCCCTCAAACAGCGAGTCTGCAGCGGTGCTGACTTGAGACCGGTCTCTACCTGACCGGAGTCACGCTGTGTGTGTCCGTCAGGAAACAAGTAGTTCCAGCAAACATCCACTGATAAACTACGATGTTAACAACCTCATGATAACCTCATATGTTTTTAACTTAGGATCATACCTGTGTTTAGTCTAGAAAAAGGTAAACATGTGCATTTTATTATAAAGTTGTGTATATTTACAGACCGTTGCAAAAACTAAGAAGCTTATAAACATCAGGTTTAAAACTAAAAGAGCTTTGAAACACAATGAAAGATGTTTGGAGTTTTATTTGAGTTATTAATTTAAACTTTTTTTCGAAGAGATGCTGATTTGAAACCGTTGTTACATACAATTACGGCATTTCCTGTTTCTGCCGGAGAGAGGGGAGGCCGTCCCAAAGCTTGCTGCTGTATTTACTCCCTCCATCTGACAGGAGGGAGCCCCGTTGAGCTGCGAGTGTGGCAACAGACGGAGTTCACTCCGTCACGGAGGGGTAGGGTCGAGGGAGTGGTTTGGGATTGGGCCTGAGTCTCTCAGTCTGACAGGAGAGGACTCTCCTCCACTTTGTTGTTGAAAAAACTCCTTATATCGGTTAGCGTAGCTCGCTAGCACCAGAAGCTAACAACAACGATCTCCGGTACCGGTGGGCTCTCTCTCGCTCGCGCACGCATACAAAAAAAAAGTATAACCATTTTTCCTCCTGGTCTCTCGCGCCCCCCCCCCCCCCCCCCCCCTGTTATTGCCTCTGCGCCCCCCACTTTGGGAACTACTGGGCTAATGGTTACACAAGCCAAAAAAACGTTATGACATCATAAAGCGGCCAAAATCTGATCAGCTCATTTTCAGACAGGTTTTTATATAAATGGATCAGGACAAAATAAGAGAGCGAATATTTTTTTCCTGAAACTTTCAGAATCTCTTTACACAGAGGGGACACATGTTTATGTAGAAAAGACATGAAAAAGTGGATTTTGCATAATAGGTGACCTTTAAGCTGTCTGGCTCTTTTCTTGCTGTAACAAATGCAAATGTCCCCTCTGTGGGACTAATAAAGGTATTCTGATTCTGACATACCTAGAGAAGGCCTTCTATGGTTGGTGACATAGATAAGAAAATATGTACTAATGCGGCAAAAGAACAAGAAAATACTGGAGAAAAGCTCAGCTATTATGAAGCAGGGAGGACTGAACCATCTTTAGCGCAACATGCCAAACTCTTTTCTTATCCCACCTTGTCTCTGAAGCCAGTGAGCAGCTCTGCAGGGGCATTGTGATGGACTGTCTTCTGTCTTCTGTCTGACTCCAAGTCAGATCTGGCTCTCATTAACACCGTCTTGTCTCCCTGCTGCTCCTCTCCCTGTCGCAGCAGCAGGACGTATGGATTAACGCTCAGACGAGCCCCTCAGGAGAGCAGTCATGCTGTCATGTGTAAAAATGTTACGAGACGTCGGGCATCGTTTCATAAGGTGTCGGGTTCCCAGACGTCAGTCACTTTGTCATGCTCATTGCCGGATTGCTATCAGGTAATTGTTTTGCCATGCTAACTTATAAGAGGATAGAAGTGAGTGAGGGGATGATTGGAAAGATCATCCTCAGTCACAGCCACCTGAATTGTATATTTCAGACAGGAACTAATATATTCCCCTTGATGCACCTATTATGCAAAATCCACTTTTTCATGTCTTTTCTACATCAACATGTGTCCCGTCTGTGTAAAGAGATTCTGAAAGTTTCAGGAAAAAAGACCCCCTCTCTTTTTGTCCTGATCCATTTCTATAAAAACCTGTCTGAAAATGAGCTGATCAGATTTGGGCCACTTTATGATGTCATAACGATTTTTTGGCTTGTGTAACCATTAGCCAATAACCAACCAAGGTAACACCCCCCACCTTATCACCTGAATCTCCTCCTAGAGCACCTTTGTGTTATTTTTAACCAAATATCTCTCAGAGGGGCGTGGGGAGTGGCTCCTTATTTCCATCTAAAGTAACAGACAGAGAATCAGCTCTTTTGAAACAGGGCTGACACAGAGAGGATTATGGGATGCTGCAATGATCTGTTTGGTATTTCGAGCAAAACACTTCAGAGACATGTTTTGTATATATCAGAGACCTATATTATATTGATGAAAAACAGTATAATAGGGGACCTTTAAGGGTCAGCCCTGTGCTACTTACAATGTGATAGGTCCTGCGGTTTTTAAGAAAAGGGGTTTCATTTTTTGTTTTCACTGACACATTAAAAACAAATTAGAGCAGGCAAACTACTGCTTACAAAGTGTAGATCAGGCATCCTCAAAGTCCAGACTCTGGTCCGGATCTGGACCGAACCACATCTGTCTCTGGACTCTGAGCAAATTATACTTTTCATATTTATTATCTGTATTATCTGTGTTATCTGCGA